AATGGAAGCAAGTTCTTTTCTCTGAGAATAATGGTTGCACACAGGGGTTAGTTACACAGTCATGGATTTTTAAAGTTATAGGTAATAAATAATGAAGCTAGAAGACAAGCATGGCAGGGCACAGCCAGAATCTGCTGGTTTGTAGCTGTGGGACAGTGGTTATCGCCCGGATGTGGGCTTCCTGCCAACTCTTTCACCATCTTCCCAAGAGCTTTGTATATGAGCTGCAGAAAGACAGTCTCTTGTCAGAGGCCAGGCTTCCATAACCTCGCTCTCCAACAGTTGAAAAAAAATCAAAAGAGCACAACTAATTAAAATTCTCATAAAATGCTCTCAGCCAGGAAAGTATTCAAGACTGATAACGCCTATGGACAAGTGCATCCGGCATTGAGGATAGGGCTCAACTGTGGCTTGCCCTAGGGTTTGGACTCTCTGCCAGTCTCTTTCAGTGAATCCGGTGACCAGCAGCATTCACATTCCCTGCCCTTCATTACCCTAAGGTTATGATGGTGGTCTAGAACCACTGTTACCTACACAGTTGGTTTGAATGTAGCATGAGGATGTCATGCTGCCCTTAGTTACACAGCTTCTTCATAAACTCTCAGGCAGTGGCTATCGAGCTAAGTGCTGTATTTCCCTTGACTCAGCATTGTCCAGCCTAAAGGGACCAGCTTCTCTGGTCCAACCACTAGGATGTGAGACTGCAGAGAAGATATTTTTGTTTTTCTAAGCAGACTATTATGGGCATTCTTCCTGGAATGTGAGGGCTGAGTTAGAGATAAGCCATAGAAGTTATCACTGGATAAATGGTGAGAGCCCCAAAGAGATTTATCTCTCCAGATGGCATGGGATCACATTTTAATGGGGTATGGGAAGAGGCAGCAGGATGAAGCTCCTAGAGTCAATCCCTGGGATACAACTGGAGTCTCTAATCTTATCTCCCTCTTAGAAGTATTTATTAGTATTTATTCACATTCCAACTGGTGTTGTTTACCTTAAGGACTTAAGATTTCTCCCCGTTTCCCAGGAGAAGCAAAGAAGAAAGCTGTTCCTCTACTTTATTGCCATCAGATTCATGTTTCCGGAATCCTTAACCTCAGGATAGACTGCGGGTGTGATAACACCGAGGTCTCAAAATGTCAAAACCCATGGGAGGAGACTGAAGTGTGTGGAGCCAGGGAAGCAACTTTCCACACATGATCACAAATGCTCTATGTTCTCTTGTGACTTTGTGTTATAGTTACATTTGGCATAATCATGATAGCTAATGTTAAAACAAAGATTCCCAGGTCAACTCCCCTTCTGTCCTCCGAGTTCTAAACAGCCAAGAGTTGTGAATCTAACTGCTGTATCAGAAGCCTCTAACCAGCTTCATTTGGTTCACAAGCAAAGAATAAAATGTTCCCCCTTCAGAGCCCAAGGCCTCAACAAGTGTTATTCTGGGCTCAGTTATTGTACCTCCCTGTCTTGTGCTAATAAGTAGATTAAGAGCACAATATTTTATTGTTTAGTTTAAACTTGAAGATGAAGTTGAAGGTTGACCTATCTCTCATTGATTCCTATTATCCTTGAAGATACCCCACTGTTCCCTCAACACACTAAAGTGATCACATCTTCTGGATTTCTTTATATGACCATCAATTTTATTCATCCTTTCCTCTGTGTCAGTTTTACCAAAACTTCATAAATGTCTCTGTTCTCATTAGCTGTACTTGTATTCTTTTGCACTGTATATCTGTGGCTTACTGTGCAGGGTACTTGCATGAGGATTGCTACATTTGGTTCTTGTAGTACTATTTGGAAAGCCACAAGTTTTAGATTTGATGCTGTTTATGTCAATTTGAACTATACTTCTAGATGTACGTGAAATGAAGTGTAAGGAGACTGGAATTCAATATCCACAAGGGATAGAAACTATGTATATGGTATCAAGGCACTTTTAATTAAAGGGATTCCTGTTGTCATAATATTAACAGCTACCAAGTAATTGCCTTCCATCAGGGATCATTTAGACATACTGAGGCTGGCCTCTTCCAAAAGCACACAAGCATTTTCTTCTTTAGCTTCTGGACAAGTATTTTCACTTGATCAATAGATAAATACAATTGTGAAAGGACCTACATTAAGTTTAAAAAAGAAAAACAGTGTCTCTCAGCTGCTTTTGAATCTTTGAGTATTTTAGACATGAACATTTACACTTCAATAGTTTTTGTGGCTCTTTAACAAATGTTAACCTATTTAATTCGTCACAGTCTTATATAAGATACATCAACACATTCATTTGTACAGATTGAGACAAAGGGACAGAGAAGGCCTGAGACCACACCCTCAGGAGGTGATAGAACCTCAGCTTCCAAGTGGCCCATGATGGTTTCAGACCCTATATTTCTCCTTTGAATTGACACTGAGACTAGTGAGAAACCAGTAAGCTGCATTTTCTGCTTAACATTACACATGCTCTGAAATTTCCAAATCACTTGAATCTTTCAGCCATAGATTCTGGGAGCATGAATTCAGGGATAGGTGTAAAGAATGCTGGCTATGACTTACTGTGGTGGCTGTCCAAAGAGGGATCTCCAAAAGGATGTACCACCCTTATTTTAATTCATCCATATATACTTATAAAGGCATATTTAATACAGTTTTGCCATTGAAATAGCAGTTCAAATCCATGTGTTGTCATAGATTCCATTTAAGTGCAAAAAAATGGTAAATATTAAGGTTAACACTATTGCTCAAAGCAATACATTTTTACCGCTGTGGTAGAACAGTTTCTCAGAGAGTTGTACCTACATCGAGAGTTTTGCTAGAACTGGATTCAGTGTCTTTTGCCATTTATTTGTCTAACATGCCCATTCTTTTCACACCACAGAATCTTCAGAAGCAAGTTGGAAAACTGGAAAGCCAAGCCAACCCCTGCAGCTCAGGCCTCCACCCGCTCTCCTTGCATGCCTTTCTTGTGGTTTAATGAAAGCCGAAAAGGATCCTATTCCTTCAGGAACCTGCCTTCAGCTCCAAGTCCCCTTCAGCCTTCTCCTGAGACTCCAATTTCAGATAAAACAGGGTCCAAGGTAGACAACAGTGGACTATAAAAGTTGGCAAGAACGCACTCAATCCTGTCTCCTCCTCAGTTTTTGGAAAGCCTTCTGAACTTGTGTGTGTACCCTGGATCTCAGGAGCCAATGTGCTAACATTGTCCTAGGCGTGCATGGTGTTTCCTTTACAGAGAAAGAAAGCCCCTCCTAACCAGCCCCCTCTTTAATACTGTTCGATTCTACCATGTGCTTTTTCTCTTCAATTTGTCTGTCATTTCACTTACTGCTATTTAATCTGTTTGACAGTTAAGCCATGCTGGGAAAGAGGCATTTGGATGGTAAAACAGTGTTCGAAGATATTTACTAAGTATTCTTCTTTAAATTGCATTATGAAACAATTTCACTGTGCTCTTCAAGATTTACTGAAAAAGAGATAAATTTACGACTGACTGTGTTCAATATATTTAAGTGAAGCAAACAGAAAAACAAAGACCACTGTCGTATAGCTCCTTGCTTACTTTTTGTATCAAATGTCCATGCAGAGCACCTGTTCTAATTCTCTTTAACATTAGCAGAATTACACTAGATGTGTATGTGTGGGTGTGATGTGTTTCAAAGTGTGCAATGGTATTTCCAGCATGACACTGCAAGCCTTGCCTAACATTGTACTGACACACATGGTGGCTAACTTTCATGGAATTTGGTTCTCCTCTTTTTACTGACGCACATAGTGGCTAACTGTGGAATTTGGTTTCCTCTTTCCTATGTTCATTCTTCTTTCCCAAACAGAAACTAGATGTTAATCTTACTTAAACTGAATTCTTCCCTTGAGCAGCTCGAAGGGTTTTGACCTAGGGTCTAAAGGATTGCATCTCCAGTGATGATACTAAAAGGCGATGTTTCATGTGCTGTGCTTTGCTGCTGAGTGTTCTACCAGCCACACTCCTTTTTGGAAGATTTATCAAATCTTGGAGTTGGTTTGCTACTAAATTCCCCAGTCTCTGGCATGGTGTTTATTTTCAACAATCAACTAAGCCCTACACAAAAGAATCTAATGGAACTAACAGTCTGCTTCCTGGAGAAGTGCTGTGTGAAGCAAGGTGGTGTTGGGCAGTTGTGTGGAGTTCCTGGGAATCCAGCCACTCTACAAGTAGCAAAAGAAGTTTTGCTTGAGTGATTCTAACATTATCTCACACTAAAGAGAGGTTCATTATAAAATACTTTCACAAGTAAGGAAGGCTCTGTGGCCATTGTCAAGTTGTTTTAACATCTGCTGAGCATGTTAAAAGTAATTCCAGGAAAATTAATTTTTTTCCCCATATCCCACCTCACTAACTCCAAGAAGTTATGCAGCCTTGTGAGTCTGTTCCATACTGCAGTCTCTTTGGCTATGTGCTGGTGCCATGAGAGAATTAGATACCAACATGTAACTAGTGTTGTGTTGTCAGACCATGCCCTCCTCCAGAACTCATCACTCTGAAGGGTACATCCAGGAGGGGACCTGTCACTTCTCATAGTATTTATCACAGCCAGCCACACGCCATCTTTCCCAGGGGCACTCCAGCTACCTTCTTGATATGAGTTGCCATCTGTTCCTGATAACTCAGCCCCTCCACACCATCTTGTATCCCTATTTACACCGTTTCTCATCACAATTAGGGTCAAAGCAGATGGGCTTATTAATATCACTACTCTGAGCACTGGCAGAGGGTAATGAATTCTGTACCCTTGGAGAGAAAATGAAGAATCATTTCTGTATACCCCTTATCCCTGCATCAGATGGAGAAGGTGCCCGTGATTTCCAATCAGGCTCCTCCACCACTGCCCAACTGAAGGTTGTCCCCAAAGCACGCTTGAGTCTCTTCTAAAGACAATTGATGAACATGAAGCAATTGAGGCCTTGGGAGCACACCTGCCTCGAGTTCACTCTGTGTTCATTTAACACGGTTGTATTCATTTTTACAGAATTTCACCTTCAATGATGACTTCAGTCCAAGCAGTACCAGTTCAGCAGACCTGAGCGGCTTAGGAGCAGAACCCAAAACTCCAGGGCTCTCCCAGTCCTTGGCACTGTCCTCGGATGAGGTACTGTAGTGGCACCATGGCAGAACTTAGTTCTTAGTCACTGGTTTCCTCCATATCCCACTGTGGGAAGATGTTGGAGGGTAGATGTAGCATAGAAGTCATCAGCATTGAGGTTTATGTTTAACATAAAAATCCCCATGATTGCGGTCCCCTCACCTTCAACATTAACGAATAGTGGCTGAGCCCGTTGAAGCTTCTTGGGATCTCATTATACATGTAAACACAAGTATTAGAGGCTGGGCACTGGAGAACAAGATTAGACAAACAGTTTAGATCACTTGGAAGCTGTGAATTATCTATTCTGTCTCTCCTTACTCAGAGTCACCCCTGCCCCACAACTCTGAGGGTCTTCTGACTATAATATGCCCCCCTGTTGAATCATTACCGTCAGTAGGCACGGTTCTGGAAAGGAAATAGAGCAAGAACTATTTATTCAGATGCTAGAGTGAAGATTAACATTAGGACGTATGTATGCAGAAATAACCAGAAAACTGTGTTGGGATTGACTTAGTTCTAAAAGTAGGTGGGAGTCAGAGGCAGGAAATAATGTAATTAGAACTTTTCTTTACTTATGAAATAAGTGTTCTTATTTAACATGAGTTATATGCAATAAGCCTCTTTTCCTTTAAATGTTTCTGGTCGTGTTTTCTTTGCTGGGCTTGATTCTGATGTTGTAAAATGTGTACTGTGGGTGTTGTGTGTCCTATTTCTGTAACATTCTTCTTCTCGGTTCTTTTGTTGCTGCTCACCCAGAGCCTGGATATGATAGATGACGAGGTGAGCTCTCTGTGGGTTGTGTGTGGTTCCTTGTCTCACTGGAACCTGTCTTGGTTTTTCTCCTTACAAATGACGTATGCTTCATTTCAAACACTAAAGAACACATTTCTCTGGAGTGGCAGGGAAATACCCTGCAATTGTCTACATTTGACTTAAAGGATGTAACTGGATCAAGAGGCTCTAAGCCCTGCCTCCAGAGTCTCTAAGCCCCACCTCCAGAGTCTCTAAGCCCCACCT